CTCTCTCTCTCACTCACGCGCACGTTCCCTCTCCGTCTCTCTCTCTCACTCACGCGCACGTTCCCTCTCCGTCTCTCTCTCTCGCGCGCGCGCATTCCCTCTCCGTCTCTCTCGCGCGCGTTCCCTCTCCGTCTCTGTCTCTTGCGCGCGCGCGCGTTCCCTCTCTGCCTCTCTCTCGCTCGCGCGCGCGTTCCCTCTCTGCCTCTCTCTCGCTCGCGCGCGCGTTCCCTCTCTGCCTCTCTCTCGCTCGCGCGCGCGTTCCCTCTCTGCCTCTCTCTCGCTCGCGCGCGCGTTCCCTCTCTGCCTCTCTCTCGCTCGCGCAGTTGTTCCCTCTCCGTCTCTCTCTCGCTCACACGCGCGCGTTCCCTCTCCGTCTCTCTCTCGCTCACACGTGCGCGCGTGAGTGTTCCCTCTTCGTCTCTGTCTCTCGCGCATGTGCACGTTCCCTCTCCGTGTCTGTCTCTCGCGTGCTCGGGTGCGTTCCCTCTCTCTCTCTCTCACGCGTGCGTTCCGTCTCTGTCTCGCGCGTGGTCCCTCTCTCTCTCTCGTGTGCGCGCGCGTGCGTTCCCTCTCTGTCTCTCTTTCTCACGCTTGTGTGTTCCCTCTCTCTCTGTCTCTCTCTCTCGCGCACGCACGTTCCCTCTCTGTCTGTCTGTCTCCCGCACGCACGCGCTTTCCCTTTCTGCCTGTCTCTCTCGCTCGCACGCATTCCCTCTCTGTCTGTCTCTCTCGCTCGCTTGTGCGTGTGTTCACTCCCTCTCTCGCGCGTGTTCACTCTCTGTATCTGTCTGTCTCTCTCGCATGTTCCTTCTCTGTCTGTCTGTCTCGCGCGTGCATTCCCTCTCTGTCTCTCGCCCGCGCGTGTTCCCTCTCTGTTGCTCGCTCTCTCTCACCTGCGCGTTCCGTCTGTCTGTCTCTCTCGCTCACTCACGTTCCCTCTCTGTCTGTCTCTGTCTCTCTCTCTCTCTCTCTCTCTCGCGTGCGTTCCCTCTCTGTCTGTCTGTCTCTCTCGTGCGTGCATTCCCTCTCAGCCTGTCTCTCTCTCTCGCGCGTGCGTTCCCTCTGTCTCTCTCTCTCTGTCTCTCGCGCGTGCGTTCCCTCCCTGTCTCTCTCTCTCTCGCGCGTGTGTGCGTTCCGTCTCTGTCTCTCTCTCTCTCTCGCGCGCATGTGTTCCCTCTCTGTCTGTCTCTCTCGCGCATGTGTTCCCTCTCTGTCTGTCTGTCTCGCGCATGCGTTCCCTGTCTGTCTCTCTCTCGCGCATGAGTTCCCTGTCTGTCTCTCTCTCTCCCTCGCGCGTGCATTCCCTCTGTCTCTGTCTCTCTCTCGCGCGTGCATTCCCTCTGTCTCTCTCTCTCCCCCCCCCGTGCATTCCATCTCTGTGTCTCCCGCTCTCTCTGTCTCTCTCTCGCGCGTGCGTTCCCTCTCTGTCTCTCTCTCCCTCGCGTGCGCGCTTGCTTTTCCTCGCTCTCTCTCTCTGTTGCATGTGCGTTCCCTCTCTGTCTGTCTGTCTCTCTCTCTCTCTCTCTTTTTTTCTCTCTTGCTCTCGTGGGTTCCCTCTCTGTCTCTCTCTCTCTTGCGCGTGCATTCCCTTTCTGTCTCTCTCTTTCGCATGTGCATTCCCTCTCTGTCTGTCTCTCTCTCGCACATGTGTTCCCTCTCTCTCTCTCTCACACTTTCTCTCTCTCTCTTGCAAGTGTTCCCCCCTCTCTCTCTCTCTCTCTCTCTCGCGTGCATTCCCTCTCTCTGTGTGTCTCTCTCTCTCTCTCTCTCGTGTGCTCTCCGTTGCGCACTCATACACACACACAAACACACTTGCACCATGGGAATAGAGATACTGCCCTGCAGACTTGTGCTGCCCTCCTGTCCCTCTTCATCTACCAGCTGGGCAGTTCATGCCAGCTTGTTAGTTGACCAACGGAGCTGCATCAATGTTGACATCTTTCCCAGCAGTAGTCCCTGGATGCTGGTTAGGGGCCACAGTCCTGACTGACCTTTCTCTATCCCAACCCAAGGAATCCTTTAATTTGTGGAGCCTGTTGCTCTGATCTCCCTCTCTGCCTTAACCTCTACTTGTTGAATTTTCTTTAGTCCATGCCTCTTTTATTGTAGCCAAATTAGAGGACATGTTGTATATAGTTAACTGAATAATGACCAACATGCTTTCTCCTGGATGCTAATCCCCCCATCCCAATCTCTTTAGAGTGTATCAGCAGGCTGGAACCGGAACCATCTAGTCCTTGGATTTCTCTAACTCTTATCTGTCTTTGCAGATGCTATCGGACATGACGATCTTACAAAGGAGGATCCCAGTGAGCTTTCGTGATCCTGGGACTGCGCCCCTGAGAAAGCTGTCAGTGGATTTGATAAAGACGTACAAACACATTAACGAGGTAAACAATCAGGCCTTACCGTCCTCTGACAGTGTTGGCAGTTAGATAAAGGTCCGATTGTAGCCTCCTGTAGGAGTTTGTGGTTAGGACCGTTCAACCATTAGCAGCAGGAGCAGGCCATTTGATCCCTCGGGTCTGTCCCACTATTCAGTGGGGTTATGGCTGATCTGACATTCCTCACATCCACTTTCCTGCCCTTTCCGCGCAACCATTGATTCCCCGACTGATCGAGATTCCCCTACTGTTTCAGCCTTAAGTATACACAAGGAATGTGCTCCCACAGCTCTCCCAAGAAGAAATTCCTCCTCATTTCAGCCTTAAATTGGTGCCCCTTTTGTTTTTGAGACTGTGCCCTCTTGTCGGAGACTCTCCCATGAGGGTAAACGTCCTCTCAGCATTGACCCTGTCAAGCTCTTTAAGAATCGATATGTTTCATAAGATCACCTCTCATTCTTCTAAACTCCAGTGAGTAGGGTCCCAACCTGTTTAACTTTTGGTCATAAGACAATCCTTCCCGTACCAAGAATCATCCTTGTGAACCTTCTCTAATCTGCCAACAATGAAATCATACCTTTTCTTAAGAAAGGAGATCACTACTGCTCACAGTGCTCCAGATGTGATCTCCCAGCACCTTGTACAGTTACACTCAGACTTCCTTACTCTTATACCCCAACTCCCTTAAAATAAGGGCCAGCATTCCATTAGCTTTCCTGATTCCCTGCTGCCCCTGTGTCATAGCTGAGTGTTTCATGCACAAGCCCCTTGGTGTTGCAGTTTTTCTCCATTTAAGTATTACACTGTTCTTTTATTATCCCTTCCAAAATGAACAACTTCACCATTTCTCAAATCAAACTCCATTTACCAACTTTTTGCTCATCTCTCAGTAAACTCTGTGTCTATCGATATTTGCCCTCGAAACTGTTTTTTTTTGTGTGTGTTGTAGGTTCAAAGTTGGGATGGGGTCATGCGGCTGTTAGTAAATTGGGGTGTTTGTGTAAGGTGAGGTGTGATTGATGTAGTCCCGTCCTCACCTTCTCGGACTCCGTCTCTGGAATTCTGCAGGTCTACTATGCCAAGAAGAAGCGTCGCGCCCAACATGTTCCCCCAGATGATTCCAGTAACAAGAAGGAGAGGAAGATTTACAATGACGGTTACGATGACGATAACTATGATTACATTGTGAAGAACGGGGAGAAGTGGATGGAGCGATACGAGATAGACTCCCTGATTGGGAAGGGATCATTTGGGCAGGTAATGGGCAAGGCATTGTGCAGTGACCACAGGTTCAGCAGGGTTAGAACGGATCCAGAAATGTGGGATTGAGGCCCATCGAGGCTTCAATATCGCACACTCCCAATTAGAGGTGGGGAATATACAGGATCCTGCTCCTGATTACACATCATTCACTTAAACTGGACATTGGGCAAATGTCAAATCCTCTTTGTGATGTGCTGGAGAGGGCTGTCTCTCTTTGACTTCGCCTGTCTCTTTGGTTTTCCCTGTAATGTGACACCTACCTGTTATAAACCAGATCTCAGGCCCAGCCAGCAGTCCTGCCCATCCGCTCCCACCCCGCCCCGGGTCAGTTATTTCTACAGCTTCCAAACTCTCCTCTTCCCCCCGTGTACTCCTGGAGGTGCTCATTCCCCCATCATCCCTCTCACCCCCAGTGCCCCCCTCCCAAAAAAAAATCATCACTCTCAACCTAATCTCCTTGCAATTCCCAGATCACCTTCCTACTATATAACCTGGCATATCACCTTCACATGACCTTGATTTTGCTGACAAATCCCTCCGTGGTTTTACTGTCCTCTATCTCTGCCCTGTCCTGCGTCCCTGTGTCCCAGGTTGCACTCTCAGCTCCAGGTGCACCGACCCCTTTTTGGCATCGTCACAAAGACCCCAAACATCTGGGCTGCAGCTTTGAACTTGCTGCAGTAAAAGCATCCTCCCCCCGCCCCCCTACTCCACAATCCTAGTGCGGATCCTCATTCCCTCTGTACCTCACTGTTTTGGTGTGTATTTTTGTAAATGGCTTCCTGCCTCCAGCCTGTTGATCACTCATTCTCTCTCTCTTTCTCTATTTCTCTCTCTCTCTCTGTCAATTTTTCTCTCTATATATATCTGTCTTTTTCTCTATCTCTGTCTATTTCTCTCTCTGTCTATTTTTCTCTCTTTCTATTTCTCTCTGTCTCCCCCCCACTTATGTCTCTCTCCATATCTCTCTCTCTCTGTATATATCCCTCTATATCTCTGTCTCTCTCGCGCACGCTGTCTTGCTCCCTCTCTCTGGCGTGCTCTGTCTCACTCTGTCTCTCTCTCTTGCGTGCGCTCCCTCGCTCTCTCTCTCTCTCTGGCATGCTCTGTATCTCTGTGTCTCTCTCTCGCGTGTGCTTTCTTGCTCTCTCTGTCTCTGTCTCGCTCCCCCTCTCTCTCGCATGTGCTCTCTTGCTGTCTCTCTCTGGCGCGCTCTGTCTCTCTGTGTCTCTCTCTCTCGCGTGTGCTCTCTTGCTCTCTCTCTCTGTCTCTCTCTCTGGCGCACTCTCGCTCCCCCTCTCACACTCTGGCGTGCTGTCTCATTCCCCCTCGCTCTCTCGCATGCACTCTCTCTCGCTCCCTCTCTCTCTCTCTCTCTGGCATGCTCTCTCGCTGGCGTGTTCTCTTGCTGTCTCTCTCTCTCTCTGGCGCGTGCTCTCGCATACGCTGTCTCTCTCTCTTTCTCCCTTCCTGGCATGCGCTCTCTCGGTCCCTCTCTGTCTCCCTGTCTGTCTGTTCTCTGCCTGCCTCCCCATCCCTCCTTTCCACAGGTAGTGAAGGCCTATGATCACCATGAGCAGGAGTGGGTGGCCATCAAGATCATCAAGAACAAGAAGGCCTTCCTGAACCAGGCCCAGATCGAATTGCGCCTTCTGGAGCTCATGAACAAACATGACACTGAGATGAAGTATTATATCGGTAAGAAGGGCCAGAAAGCTGGGGTGTGGAGCAGACAGGGGACAGCCTTTTGCTGGGAATGTCTCTGGGCCAACTCTGAACTCCCACCTGAAATAGTCTGGCGACTGCCTGGCCTATCATCACTTGGGATTGAGCAACAACTGTTGGCCTTGTCAACAATATTCACATCCTGAAGCAAATATGGTTCGGAATAAAATACCTCGTCTCTAGTTCTGAAGTGAAATCTGTTCAAGGAGGTGAAGGGTTCTCTCTCCAGTAAGAATAGGGACCAGATTAAGAAATGTTGATTGCTGAGTGTTACTTCGGAAAGTTGATACCTTCCAGTCTTGGAGCTCAGTTTAATGTAAAACAACAGAAAATGTTGAGAATACTCAGCAGATTGAGTAGCGTCTGTAGAAAGAGAAACTGAGTTAATATTTCAGGCATTATGTCAAAACAGGAATGAGTGAGGGATGTAATAGTTTGTGACCGAGTGCAGATGCAGCAAGAGAAAAGGAGGGTCAGTGATTGAGTGGGTGACAGGAGAGAGAGTCAACGGCAGTAAGTCAATTAAATGTAAACTCTTGTCTTTCTCTGCTTGTTGTCACCCCCTCCTCCCAACCTAGTTCACTTGAAGCGACATTTCATGTTCCGGAACCATCTGTGTTTGGTTTTTGAGCTGCTGTCCTACAACCTGTATGATCTACTGCGAAACACCAACTTCCGTGGCGTCTCCCTCAACCTGACTCGCAAGTTTGCCCAGCAGATGTGTACGGCCCTGCTATTCCTGGCCACCCCTGAGCTCAGCATCATCCACTGTGACCTCAAGCCTGAGAACATCCTCCTGTGCAACCCCAAACGCAGTGCCATCAAAATCGTTGACTTTGGCAGCTCCTGCCAGCTGGGGCAAAGGGTCAGAATGCCACGCCAACATCGGTTCCAATTATGTGCTTGCGCACCTGTGTGTGTGTGTGTGTGTGTGTGTGTGTGTGTGTGTGTGGGCGCGTCTGTGTGTGTGTGTGTGTGTGCGCGCGCGCGCGCCTGTGTGTGTGTACGTGCTTTTTGGGAGGTGTGTCTGTGTGTGTGTATACACACCTTTGGAAGGGGTGTGTGTGTGTGTATATGTGCCTTTGGGAGGTGTGTCTGTGTGTGTGTATACGTGCCTTTGGGAGGGGTGTGTCTGTGTGTGTGTATACAAGAGTTACAAGTTAGCCAGGAAGGACCTAAAGAGAGAGCTAAGAAGAGCCAGGAGGGGACATGAGATGTCTTTAGCAGGTAGGATCAAGGAAAACCCTAAAGCTTTCTATAGGTATGTCAGGAATAAAAGAATGACTAGAGTAAGATTGGGGCCGGTCAAGGACAGTAGTGGGAAGTTGTGCGTGGAGTCTGAAGAGATAGGAGAGGTGCTAAATGAATATTTTTCGTCAGTATTCACACAGGAAAAAGACAATGTAGTCGAGGAGAATACTGAGATACAGTCTATTAGACTGGACGGGATTGAGGTTCATAAGGAGGAGGTGTTAGCAATTCTGGAAGGTGTGAAAATAGATAAGTCCCCTGGGCCGGATGGGATTTATCCTAGGATTCTCTGGGAAGCTAGAGAGGAGATTGCAGAGCCTTTGGCTTTGATCTTTATGTCGTCATTGTCTTCAGGAATAGTGCCAGAAGACTGGAGACTAGCAAATGTTGTCCCCTTGTTCAAGAAGGGGAGTAGAGACAACCCTGGTAATTATAGACCAGTGAGCCTTACTTCGGTTGTGGGTAAAGTGTTGGAAAGGATTATAAGAGATAGGATTTATAATCATCTAGAAAGGAATAATTTGATTAGGGATAGTCAACACGGTTTTGTGAAGGGTAGGTCGTGCCTCACAAACCTTATTGAGTTCTTCGAGAAGGTGACCAAACAGGTGGATGAGGGTAAAGCGGTTGATGTGGTGTATTTGGATTTCAGTAAAGCGTTTGATAAGGTTCCCCATGGTAGGCTATTGCAGAAAATACGGAGGCATGGGATTGAGGGTGATTTAGCGGTTTGGATCAGAAATTGGCTAGCTGTAAGAAGACAGAGGGTGGTGGTTGATGGGAAATGTTCATCCTGGAGTTCAGTTACTAGTGGTGTACCTCAAGGATCTGTTTTGGGGCCACTGCTGTTTGTCATTTTTATAAATGACCTGGATGAGGGCGTAGAAGGATGGGTTAGTAAATTTGCGGATGACACCAAAGTTGGTGGAGTTGTGGATAGTGCGGAAGGATGTTGCAGGTTACAGAGGGACATAGATAAGCTGCAGAGCTGGGCTGAGAGGTGGCAAATGGAGTTTAATGCGGAAAAGTGTGAGGTGATTCACTTTGGAAGGAGTAACAGGAATACAGAGTACTGGGCTAATGGTAAGATTCTTGGTAGTGTGGATGAGCAGAAAGATCTCGGTGTCCATGTGCATAGATCACTGAAAGTTGCCACCCAGGTTGATAGCGTTGTTAAGAAGGCGTACAGTATGTTAGGTTTTATTGGTAGAGGGATTGAGTTTTGGAGCCATGAGGTCATGTTGCAGCTGTACAAAACTCTGGTGCGGCCGCACTTGGAGTATTGCGTACAGTTCTGGTCACCGCATTATAGGAAGGATGTGGAAGCATTGGAAAGGGTGCAGAGGAGATTTACCAGGATGTTGCCTGGTATGGAGGGAAGGTCTTATAAGGAAAGGCTGAGGGTCTTGAGGCTGTTTTCGTTAGAGAGAAGAAGGTTAAGAGGTGACTTGATAGAGACATACAAGATGATCAGAGGATTAGATAGGGTGGACAGTGGGAGCCTTTTTCCTCGGATGGTGATGGCTAGCATGAGGGGACATAGCTTTAAATTGAGGGGTGATAGATATAGGACAGATGTCAGAGGTAGGTTCTTTACTCAGAGAGTAGTAAGGGCGTGGAATGCCCTGCCTGCAAAAATAGTAGACTCGCCCACTTTAAGGGCATTTAAATGGTCATTGGATAAACATATGGATGATAATGGAATAGTTTAGGTTAGATGGGCTTCAGATTGGTTTCACAGGTCGGCGCAACATCGAGGGCCGAAGGGCCTGTACTGCGCTGTAATGTTCTATGTTCTATGTTCTGTATGCACCTTTGGGAGGGGTGAGTTTGTGTGTGTGTACGTGCCTTTGGGAGGGGTGTGTGTGTGTCTGTGTGTATGTGCCTTTGGGAGGTGTGTCTGTGTGTGTGTGTATACGTGCCTTTGGGAGAGGTGTGTCTGTGTGTGTGTATATGCACCTTTGGGAGGGGTGTGTGTGTGTGTATACGCACCTTTGGGAGGGATGTGTGTGTATGTGCCTTTGGGAGGTGTGTCTGTGTGTGTGTATACGCACCTTTGGGAGGGGTATGTGTGTATGTGCCTTTGGGAGGTGTGTCTGTGTGTGTGTATATTCACCTTTTGGGAGGGGTGTGTTTGTGTGTACTGGGGTACTTGCGTCTGCCCAGAAGCCCCTCTTGTCTTGCGTACTGTACTCCTGTGACCCATGCAGCTGGCTTAGTGGAATTTGTCCTCTTCCCACAGATTTACCAATATATCCAGAGCCGTTTCTATCGCTCACCTGAAGTGCTGCTTGGCATGCCATATGACCTGGCCATTGACATGTGGTCACTGGGCTGTATCCTAGTGGAGATGCACACAGGGGAGCCTCTCTTCAGTGGGTCGAATGAGGTGAGCCAGCTGGTTTTCTGTGTGCTGTGCCATGTTGAAGGTCTGAATTGGAATACTCACCTGTTGCCTGTCCCACCGCATTGATCTGGAACTTCTCTGTTTGCTGTTGCTGTCCCATTCTGGGTGTGTTCTTTATAACTCCCACTCTCTATTTTCCCTGTTTAGGTGGATCAGATGAATAAGATAGTGGAAGTTGTCGGAATTCCTCCTAGCCACATGCTGGAGCAGGCGCCCAAAGCCCGCAAGTACTTTGAGAAGCTCTCGGATGGGCTATGGGCCATCAAAAAAGTGAAGGATGTGAAGAAGGTACGTCCTGGGTCCCAGCAGGTCCCTGTTGGAGCAGCTGCTGATCTGGTGGAACACTGCTCTCACACACGTGACCAGCAGCACACTCTGTGGATGCTCACATGCCCTGGTGTGAGAGGGGTGGTGGAAAGGCAGGAGCCAGGCAGTGTAGGCTTTAGGTGGGGGAGTGATAGTCTGAGGGAGAAGGCACAAAAGGAATTAGCCCAAAGGGGCACAGTGTGTAAGGGTTTGGAGAGTGGAGAGAAGCGCAGTGTGTTCTGGTCCCAGTTGGTGAGACTCGTGGATAAGTCAGATTTCAGAGTGAAATCTGGCTTGAGAGATTTTTTTTATTTTCAAATTTTAGTTAAGGTGGTGATCATTCACTGAAACATAGTCGCACGAGGTTAACAACAGAACAAAGGTTTACTACGCAAAAGACAAAGACAAAAACAAACAAACCGAGCTCTCTAGATGTAGAACACGGTTGGGAAAATTATAAAGCACCCAGCACAAAAAGGAAAGTTTCAACCTGTTCCCTAACACCTTCACTTTATGGCAATTCAAATCCAGAGAAATGATCACTCTTTGTCAGATCTCTAAGTTTAACTGAACTGCTTCTCCCAGTTTCTGACCTACTTTATCTAACTTTAGAAAACTGAGAGGTTAGACTTTCTCAGCTTCAAATCACCTGCAGATATCAAACCAAACTCTCCTGCTGTGGAAGCTGTATGTGTGAAACTTTTCTATGAGGTAATGTACTTCCTTAACTGCTCTGGTAAAATCTTCTTTCTAGGATAGAGACGATACTTGCTTCTGAGCCCAATCAGGTCACTTCCGAATGGATGTGAAAACATGCAATCCCTGACAGTTTCAAAATCAGTCCTTGAATAATCTAAACTGTAGTCAAGCTTTTAGATGTCAATATATACTCCACCTGGAGTATCCTACCCCCATATAAGCAACTTTCCTTTTACATTTCTTGCTCTCTGGAATGGACTGGATTAGGTCACTGATCCAGAAGGACTGTCTGACCTTGTTTTGTCTTAAGTCCCTTCACAAAAGTAACCAGAACCAACATGCCACTATTTTAAGATCCAGGCTGTCATGTGTACAGATATGTAAATAACACACCTTCGATGACAAAAGGCACGAGAGAGGAGCCCAAGAGAAGTGGGAGGGTGGGAAGAAAAGGAGATAGAGTTGGCCGGTGGAGGGGGGTGGGGATGGTGTGAGGAGTTGGGGAAGGTTTGCAGGGTAAGGAGCAAGTGCAGTAATTGAAATTGGAACCACATATCCTCTGGTCTCTTTGCAGGAATACAAAGTGGCCGCTTCCCGTAAACTGCACAACATCATTGGTGTCGAGACGGGTGGGCCCAATGGGCGTCGTGCTGGTGAACCAGGGCACACACCCGCGGAGTACTTGAAGTTCAAGGACTTGATTCTAAGGATGCTGGACTATGATCCCAAAACCCGAATCACCCCTTTCTATGCACTTCAACACAACTTCTTCAAGAAGACCTTGGATGAAGGGACAAACACAAGTAACAGCATCTCAGCCAGCCCCTCATTGGGACATAGTCAGTCAACAAGCACTGCCAGCTCTTTGTCCAGCTCAGGTACAGGTCACCAGCCCTCCCCTACCGTGGAATGCACACTCCATCTTCCCCTTCAAACACCAGCAGCTTCCCTCCATCATCCGCCTACTTTTCTTACTTCATGGTCATCTTAAAGCTGATCATACATTCAGGACAGGGCATTGGATAAATCCGCCACGGTTCCTGCTCATGATCATTGTCCAGTCATCCCTGGACTCCACAGCGAGATGGGAAATCATTCACGACTCATGCTTCTGATCACTCCCCAGTAGCGTTTGCTGTTTTAGTGTGTTGATGTGCCCGTATTGGGACAATAACTCTCCAGGACAGTGTTTGGAAATCTGTCTCTCTTATGGCACCCTCAATGTGGCATTTGCAAAACATTGGCTACAGTACCAGTGGGGACAGGTCTGTCTCTGTGTAACACTGGGGTACAGTACCGGTGGGG